TTAAGTTAAGTTAAGTTAAGTTAAGTTAAGTTAAGTTAAGTTAAGTTAAGTTAAGTTAAGTTAAATCATGAGTCTCAAGCGGAACTTCCAAAATTTCAAAAGAATTTATTGGGAGTTACCATGTCCGGCACTGCCTGGGTGCAGCCGACTCTGAGACACATCATTCATTGTCCCCCTTGACCCTGCTTTCCCCCCCACCCCCTGGGTGTATCATAATTCATATCCTCCAATGAGACACATCCATAGCCAGGACTCATCAATCATGCTCTCCAGCTAGAATTTTTGCGCAGCAGAAACTTCAGTCGCCTAGTTACTATCTTTGAAAACATTTAGGGAATGCGCTTTTGGTTTGCAAGCTGCCTCACTGCTCCCCCTCCCTTTCTGCTGGCAACTCTAAAAAGACCCTAGAAATATTTTATGAGTTGACATAAGTGAGTTTTTGCCCTATTTTACGACCTTTTTGGCCCCTGTTATGCAAATCCCTGCAGTTGTTAAGTTAGTAGTCCAGTCGTTAAGTGAATCGGGCTCCCCCCCCATTGATATTTGCTGGTCAGAAGGTCACAAAAGGGGATCACGTGACCCCGGGCGCTGCAACCATCATAAAGACGAGTCAGTTGCCAAGCATCTGAGTTTTGATCACACGATCCTGAGGATGCTTGCAGTGATTGTAAGTGTGAAAAATGACCTTAAGCCACTTTTTTCCGGCACCGTCATAACTTCGGTCACTAAATGAACTGTGGTAAGTTGAGGGCTACCTGTAGTGACTACTTAATTGGCCCTAAAAAAAAAACACCTTCCAAGATTATGAATCCAGATCTTGCTTATTCTTAGTTTCAGGAGCAGAGAGGTATAAACTTCTTTCGAAGCTGGAAGCTCGATGTTGTGGCCTGTCAGCAGCCCAATCAGAGGAGGAGGAGGAAAACTCAGGGGCAGCAACTTGAGAGCTCCAAGGGGGAAGAGGGAATGGAGATGTCAGAGAGAGAGAGAGAGACGGAGGTGGAGCCTGGGCCGTCCATCAGCCCTCAGGTGGAGAGTCAACAGCCCCCAGGTCTGGAGGTGGCTGATGAGGAAGAGGAGGAACAGCTGGCTCCAGTGCCTGACATGTAGATACGCAGAAGGAAGAGGAGAGGAGAGCAGTGGAAATCTATGAGCCAGTCCTCAGGACAGAAGAGCCACCACTGCTAGCGAGGCCCCATCCTAGTTCTGGGGATAAAAGGCAGGGGGTGGAGATGAATAGGTGTGACAGATAATTATTCATCTTCTAGATGGACGGACTTGTTAGTCGGCAGTGAGAGAGAAACTATTTACCGGGGATGCCGGCGCTCCTAATAAAGGAATCTTCAGAGGGTTTGTCGAGTTTGGGGAGCTGGGTCAGAACACTCCCTTCAAGTATTGTGCTGAATAACAAATACAGAGATAGCCCTTGCTTAATGACTGGTCACTTAGCAAATATTCAAAGTTATGATGGACTTCACCAGAGTTACTGACAACCCTGTTCTGGAGGGTCACTTCCCCCCTGGGATCACATGATCACGTTTTTGGTGCTTGGCAACCAACTCACATTTGTTTGCGGAGTCCTGCGGTCATGTGACCACACCATTTTTTCATGTATGTTTCCCGCAAAAAAAAAACCAACTCTGACCATTGTGATGCCCCAGGGTGGGATACAAAATAAACACAGTCACAAAAAAACAGGTGAAGCTCCTTTTATTCCTTCCCTTTGCTTCCAAGCTCCCAATATACTTGACTGGAGACAAAAAAAACCTCCCCCACAAGCAGTTACCAGAAGGAGGAAATGCTGTTTAAATTATAAAGAGTAAAAAAACAACACAAACCAGGCAAGATAAGGGCTGGAGGACGTCCACAGATAACAGAACACACGCTGGGAAGGACGCCAAACTCAGAGAGGAACCATAAACTAGAGATATTTCCATGCTTTGTTTCCAGCGCTCGCCAATACGCATGTCCATCCTCTTATCCAGTTGTCACAGCTGCAGCCCATGAAAAGGATCAAGGCCCTCTCCTCCAGCATAGACCACGTCTCTCCCTTATCCTCTCCTCCCTGCATGCTCTAGGATGGAGAGGGGATGGACTTCTGACTGCCCAGCCAGCCTCTGCCCTTCCCACAACCTCCAGAGCCACCCTTCCACCCCCTGTCGGCTGTTCCTCCTCTCCCTCCGAGTCTGTCTCCACCAGGGGCATGGCAGCCATTAAGTGAAATGGGTTTGCTTAACCGTCACTGCAAAAATGGTAATAAATTTGGCATGGTCATCTGGTGACCTACTTAATGATCACCACGATGTAAGACTGTAATTCCAGGCTCAATTATAGCCGTAAATGAAGGATTACCCATAATGCATCTTTGCAGTTCCATAAACCTATCCACCTTCCAGATTTAACTCTGTGTTTTCCAACCTTGGCAACTTTCAAGTGCCGTGGACTTCAACTCCCAGAATCCCCCAGACAGCATAACTGCTTCAGGAAGAAAATTAACTCCTACACCATTCCTGCCAGGTGGCAGTCTACCTTCTTCCTAAAAGGAAGAGAGTCATTATCTTTAAAAACACATTCTTGTCTCCTTCTCTAATCGCTCATCCATCAGGAATTCATTTCAACGCCTTAGCACAAATTTACGCCTATCGCTCACTTTGGAATCTCCATTTCCATAGTGTTGTGATGTTTCAGTTGAGTATTAATTACAAACTCTAGCCAGGAGTAATCATTACAAGAGATAACCTTCCCAGAGGAGCACACACAACCCCCAATCAAAGAGTATCAAGTTGAGAAGGGACATCATTGGAAGGTACCGATTGTTAGAGAAGTAAAAGGAAGGAATGTGAAGTGGGTTTGTTTGACCGAGGTTAAAATAGATACGTTGCTATAGCTAGTGAGCCTTAACAGACATTTTGCTGACAGCAGAATTAAAATGACCAGGCTGTAAAGATCTATTTATCTATATATAAAAAAAGATGGGATAGACGGAGATCATTTTTGTTGTATTTTAAGAGAAGTTGAGACGTTATCAAAATGGTTTATATTTGTGAAGAAGGGAGAAGTCATTTTGTTACGACTTTCTGTTTTTTTGCCTGTACCGTAGTAGTCTTTCCAAAATTGATAAATACATAAATAAAAATATATTCTTATATTTTTCTTTCTTTAATACTTTTCTTTTTGGCACTAAATCTTTTTTTTTTCAGTTTCTATAGGTAGTCCTCAGTGGCGGATTTCAAACAGTTTTACCATCGGTTCGGTGGGCGTGGCTTGGTGGGCATGCTTTGCGTGCGTGCACGCACTTTGCGTGCGCGCGCACACCAAACACACATTTTGCGCAGGCGCAGAGGCGTTCCAACTCACCTCCCGCAAGTCTGCATCTCTCCCGGTTGCTTCAGCAGCTGACGGGCGGCACTCTGCTGTGCCGCGCATAGCAGCTGCGCTTCAAATTCAGAGGATAAAGGTGGGTATGGCCCAACGGCCGAGTGGCGAGTTTTGGTCTCCGTTGCTCATCGCTGATACCGGCTCGGCAGAACCGGGCCGAACCTGTAGAATGCCACCACTGTTAGTCCTTGACTTACAGCCAGGGGTCGGATTCAACCAGTGTAACAACCGGTTTGGTGAGTGCGTACTTTGCGCGTGCACAGCGTTTTGCAACTCACCTTCTGCTGCAAGCTCTGTGTGTAAAACAGCTGACGTGCAGCAATCCACTGTTCCGCGCAAGGCAGCTGAGGTAGAAACCCTGGAAATAAAGCACAGCTGCGGCGGGCAAGTGGGCCCAACAGCTGATCATCAGAGCAAACCACTCGCAGTTGATCTTCAGAGATATTGGTTCAGCTCGACTGAGCTGAACTGGGCCGAACTGGTAGAATCCCACCCCTGCTTACAGCCATTCTTTTAGTAACAGTACAAAATTACAACAGGGCCAGGAAAACAAAGTGACTTACGACCTGTTTCACGCTGACGACCGCTGGAGAATCCCCAACGATCACATGATCAAAATCTGGATGCCTGGCAACTGGCAAGTGTGCTTGTGACGGTTGCGGTGTCCCTGGGGTCCCGTGATTCCCTTTTTGTGACCTTCTGACAGACAAAGTCAACAGGGAAACTAGATTCACGTCGCAACCAGGTTACGAACACCTGTAACGATTCCCTTAGCAACTGTGGCAAGAAAGGTGGCAAAACGTGGGCAAAACTCACTTAACAACCATCCTGCATAGCAACAAAAGCGTTGGGCTCGATGGTGGATGACGTATGTTGAGGACTGTAATCGTTTTCATTTTTTTTTTGGTGATTGGCATTTTTAATTTTAAAAAATCATAAAATAAATGTAGGAAAAGGAGTGTTTGAAGGCCACGAGATGATTGTATGGCAGTGGTGGTATTCTGCCAGTTTGGCCCGGTTCTACCGAGCCGGTAGCGGCAATGCGTAGCAGAGACCGAACCAGTTCTCCAAAGTGTACATTTTGCAAAGTCCGTTCATGCATGCAAAGTACGCCCACCTAGCCACACCCAACGAACCGGTGGCAAAACTTTTGGAATCTCATCCCTGTTGTATGGCGTTGGCTTCATGAGAACATCAGGGTTAGAGTAGCATCCAGGCTTGTCATGCAACAAAAATTAAGATATCCTGACCTTTCCACCCATGCTTGAGGTTGCCATGGATTATGGGATCCCTCCCTACCTCATCAACCAGTCCAACAACCACCCATCTTCCTACCTTGTGGCAAGGTGGCATTCCAGAAGGTTCCCGAGTTTCCAAACCTGGGCCTGAAACCACAAGCAGGGTGGAGACTGGACTTGTGGTTCTTTTGCCTCCTACTAACAGACACCAGATTTTCCTGTCTCACCAGAGAGAAACCCAGAGTGTGCTTCTCTTAAGGAGAGAGAGAGACACACACACAACGTTGGGTGCAACACAACCGGCAAGATGTCCCACAAGTTCACCGAAGCCGAGATCGAGATCTTCAAGGACTCCTTCAGCCACTTTGACTTGGACGGCGACGGAGTCATCACCAAGAAGGAACTGGGCACCGTCATGCGGTCCCTCCAGGACATTCTTCAGGAGACCTTCACCGATGAGGAGGTGGAGGACATGCTGAAGGAGGCTGACCTGAATGACGACGGGAAGGTCACCTTTGAGGAGTTTGTGAAGATGTTGGCCAAGAAGGGGGCGTAGGTGAAGGAGGAAACCCCCCAGCTCTTTTCTTCTTGGTACGGTGAGGAAGCAGGGGAGACGTGGGGGGACAGCCAATGAGGATGTTTCTAGGGTGTATTGTGGTTTGGGCTAAACCTGGTTTCTTTGCTTCTCTCTTTCTGCTTTCTCTTTCCCTCTTCCTTTCTTCTGCATTCCGGACATACCGGAAATGGTGGACAGACTAAAAAATGAATTGAATAGAATAGATAATAGAATAGAATAGAATAGAATAGAATAGAATAGAATAGAATAGAA